GCACAATAAATTCTAAGTGAAGAAAATTATCTTAGCGAGTCACTTGAAAAGTAAATACCATAAAGGTAACTAAATAGTGAATTGGTAAAAATGCTTGCAATTATGTAATAGCTCATAGATTGTATTAAATAATTAGCAATAAATGAATAATACTACTCATAGGTTATGTTGATTACTCAGTCTTAAATACATATTCAAATAAATAAAAACAGGAAACACAGACAAGTACGCATGAATACTGATATACATTTTATGTAATTAAGTTTGTTACAGTGGGTAATCAACATAAAATCAATAATTGATGGTTGAACAGATTTAATTTATTGCAAATTATATATGATAAATATATGTCACTAATATCATTAACATTATTTACAATAGTGAGATGAAAATATGCTATTGGCCAAGCCAAATTTTAAGATGAAATAAGAATCATTAATAAGTTTAAAAACTTTTTCAAAACGTTATCCTAGCAGTTCTGCTAGTGTAAAGTCAAGTATAAAAAATTAATTTTCGATTGATAATTGAAATTAAAACATTACATTAATTTTTTGATTACCTTCATTACCTTCTTCTTCGTCAGCATTTTTTTCCACTTCACTCTCGTCAGGCTCACCAGACGACTCGGCCTCATCTTCAATATCACCTTCCGCGAATTCAGTTTCAGCTATATAATAATTTTGATGTGTTCCAAATATTTTTCCCCAAAAGCGTAAAGATTTAATTGGATAAGTGTCAACTAATTGCTTAAGAGCTATATAAATGCGGAAGGACTCCTCTGAACATAGTCCAATACCAGATTGTTCGAAGCAGAAATTAATGTACAGTATATCCGGAAGTGGAGCTTCAATTCCTTCATCCAAACTAATTTCTTCTTCATTTTCTACAGAGGCCTGTGAAAATATCAGTTTAAATAAAATTACCTTTAAAAACTTTTCAAGAATAAGAGCTGACGAAATTTTTGCTGGGTTATCAAGAAAATTCGAATTATTATTAAATCTTTTAAGCTCATTACGAATATGTAGGCTAATTTCTTCAAAGCAGTCAAAAGATCTTTTCGATCTTATCTGGAGCAACCGAGTGATACAATTTTTTAAATGAGTATAACTTTAAAAGTCAAAAATGCAATACCAACAGATTAAAGTCCTTTTCAATATCACATGAAAGCAATTTTGATTTAATAGATATAAAATCGTTATTTGGGTCTAGCTGAGAATCCAAAACATTTTGTCCTATGTCTGCGGACATTATGGCAAAAGGTTAAGCGGCCTACGCTGTTGTTATAGAGACATAATATTTAAACGAACTATTGTTAATTAAAATATCTTAATACTATATTTTGTTATTATACTACAGAAATTATTTAATAAAATATAAATATTATTAACGTATGATAAACATTTACATAAATTTTTACGTTAAAAATAATTAAGTGAATTTACTTACGTTGAATTAAAAGCTTAAAAATCCCTGTGTCGCCTATTTTGTTTTGTGGTCTATGACCTGTCGCGTCGCTTTTATGCATCGCCATGTCTCTTAATTCTCCGATTTCTATGAAAATTCAAGCCGCATGGGATGCAGAAAAAAGTTCTCCTAGTGTTGTCCCCAGGTTAGCCTTAGCTTCTCTCTTGTACTTTTCTTATTTGCCTTAGCGTAACCAATTTATCCTTTGCTTTTTATTTCTATTTTTCTTTGCTACTCATCCTGTCTATTATGGCGACATCATATCCAACAATTTTTTTACTCCTTTATTATTTTGTAGAGTCTGCAACCTTAATCTTTTGCAAATCATCCTTGACAGGCCAATAGAGACTGGAAGTTCTAACAATAGCTTGTATGTTGCAGTTCGTATGCGTGATTCCGTTCGACGTGTCCTACGATCGCCCGAGCTTTATCTTATTCCACCCACCGCGCCGCTGCCTGCGTTTAATCTTCCTTCTCTAACACTTAATGTTAGCTCTTCATTTAAGGCAACATACACAAATGCCTCTGACAGCATCGGTTTATCCGGTTTCCCGAGTAGTAACACAACTTCGTTTATTACGCATGGTCAAATTGGTGCTGGCGGCTCTGTTTTTGTTGATTTCAAATGTGAAATACAATACTCACACACTCTGAAGCGTGATGGAAATATTTTACAAATACTCTTGCAACGTCGTAAGAAGAGCAAAACAGTTAATTTAGGATACAAAACTTTGGCTTACTGTAACATTGATCTTGCACAGGTCAGTTGAATGTATTCTTTTCATTTTTCCCGTGTCCCTTGCTAGCAAAACTAAGCTGACAGAATTCATGAATATTGAGATTTAAGAAAGTTAAGCTTTAGTCCGATTATTTTTTTGGTTTTCGGAACCACATTTAGTTTTTTTCTATTTTTGATGGGGATATTGAGTAATAACAAAAGAACTATTCCTTGAAATATAAAAAAATTGTTACTGTCAAAAGATTTTATACTTTTACCGTCTACTTATTAACAAATGCTGGAAAATTAGGTCCTACAGCATCGGATTGAAAACCGATTCCTCGATCTATTCCAAGATCCCAAATGCTCTACATTTTCCGTCGGCCGAATTGAAATCCATTGTCTCTCTACTCTGCCAATAGAAAAGGATTTGATTAATGGAAGTCCTCGGAGAAAAGGCAAGCTTTTTAATTTGCCCTGCTTAGCCTTTAAAAATATGTTGTGATTGACATAGCATATTCATAAGTAAAATATGCTATGGTCGATTCCAACATGGTTCAGAATTTACTTTTATTACGAAATCTTTTTTTCACAATTACGAAGTGGCATTTATATTTAATTTTGTCTCCTTTGCTGATTACTCCTTCGAACTAGCTTTTAAAGTAATTAGCTAATTGTAGTATTACACTTTTATTTCGAATTGTGATTATTAATTTTAAATCTCTCCAGATTTTTATGTTTTGCTTTAAACTGTATTACCAGTCGCTCTTCTACTCAACGATCCTAAATCGCTTGCGTACTTGGCTACAATCCCTAATATATATAGTGAATATATTTCTGAGCC